GCTTTGCCGCTTCTCCCCTGGCTTAGCTCGCTCGTATCGTCACCATTATTATTATTATTTTTCCTCTCCCCGCGCCGCGCTGCTCTCTCGTGGCCGGGGGCGGCTCTCGCCGCCCCGCGGGGCGCAGGCAGGCGAGCCCGCCCGGGATGCCATGGCCCCGCCGGGCTCCGCGCTGCCCGCCCGCCCGCCGCCGCTGCTGCTGCTGCCGCCGCTCCTGCTGCTGCTGCTCGGCTGCCGCGGAGGTAAGAGCGGCCCGGGACCTGCCGCGGCCCCGGCGCCCTCCCGGGGCTCGCGCTCGGCCGCCGGGCTCTCCCGGTCGAGCGCGGTGCCTCCTGCGCTCCCCCGCTCCCCGCGCTCGTCCCCCGGCGCCCTGCGCTCGCTCTCGTGCTTCCCGCTCCCCGAGGTCCGTCCCTGGCGCCCTGCGCTCGCTGTGGTTCCTCCTGCCCCTTCCCGGTCCCTCCTGCTCGCTCCCTGGTCCCCTGCGCTTGCTTGCTCTGGTCCCTCATGCTCATCCCGGTCCCCTCAGGCTTGTTTCCTGGCTCCCTGTGCTTGCTCTGGTCCCTCACTCTCCTCCCTGGTCCCTCGCGCTCCTTCCTAGTCCCTCACGTTCAGCGCTGGTCCCCGAGCTCATCCCCTGCCTCCCTGCACTTGCTTTGGGCCCTTAGGCTCTATCCCGGTCCCTCAGGCTCATCCCGGGTCCCGCTCTGCTCCGTGCCGCTCCATCCCCGTCCCCTACATTGTCCCCAGTGCTGCAGAGCGTGTCCCCGCGCAGCATCCCGCGTCCGCCTGTGCTCCGGGACGGCGCTGGGCACGCAGGGCGCTCCGGCACCTCTGTGCACATCTGCATGCGCCCCGCTGCGTGTGCACAGCTGCACGGGCACATCTGCGTGCGCTGGGCGCCCTGCGGCACGGGCGAGCGCGCGCCGTGCCCGGGGTCACCGCGGCGGTCCCCGAAAGCCGCCTTGTAGCCAGGAGGAGCCCGGGGGACGGGAGCTCGGAGCTGTGACCACGCTGCCGCATGCAGCAAGGGACGCTGCGCCGGGGCTGCAGGGAGCTGCTCCAGAGCCCCAAGTACTGCGCTTTTGTCAACACACCGGCCTGGGCTCCCGCTGGTGACATCCCCCGCATCGGAGCGGAGCCGGGCGGCAAAAACATCAAAGGGGTTTTGCCCCGGCCCCGCTGCGCGCCACGATGCTGCCCCTTTGGCTCGCAGCTCGAGCCGAATGGGCAAGCGGAGAGAGGACGCTGTGGGGCAGCAAAACACCCGCCTGCCGCCCCTGTCAGCCCAGCAGCCTCGAAAATGAGGAAAAACTGGAATTTAGAAGGAAACAGCGGGAAAAGAGCACGCGTTGGGTGAATCTGAGAGGAGCTGCCCGACGGAGGCTGCTCGAGAAACCCTTCTTCCCATCACAACTGCGGCCACGTGGTTCAGAGCCCCAGCAGCAGCAGGAGCCTGTGCAACCCCTGGGAAACACGAGTTTCCCGGGAAGCGAGTGCACGGGGGCAGGTTGGGGTCTTTGGAGACTGATGAGACTCCACGCAGTGCCATCGGAAGGGTGGAAAAATACTATTTTGGTGTGGGGGAGAAGGAAGGGAGCGAATTTTTCAAAGTTTGTGACTTGTTTACTATGTGCTGCTGTTTAGACAGCACCGCGTGCTCCCTCGCTGTGCGACTTGCAGGTCAGTAGCTCCTGCCTTGGGCAGGACATATTTTCCCGGCCTTATTGGAGAGCTGCAAGTTAAAAGTTTTCCCATTCCCGATTTTCCTCCCCGCTGTGGGGGTTCTGGATGCTGTTAGCAGCAGGGCTCTGCGCTCGGGGGATTGAGTAAATCCTTGCTCACCTTCCCCCCCGGCATGGCGATTCCCAAAGTACCGGAGCGCTGGGAGGGGGCTCAGCAACGAGGCAGCATTTCCTTTTTTATCCCGTTTTCCCCCCTTCCCGCAGCTCTTTGTTCCGGGTGCTGGGCAGCTTTTGTCTCTGCGCTGAGCCCTGCATTCAGCGGGATCGCGGCGGCTCCCCGGCTCTGCTCCATAGCAGCCTCGGAATTAAACATTGTCATTTATATTTAAGCAGGCTTAGCTGCTAAATTATTGAAGCTATAAGCTTTCCCTAATTCCTATTCCGTGTGGCTTTGTTTTTTTAATGAGGAAAAAAAAAAAAAAAGGAAGGGGATTGCTTTCTCCTAAATTGGTGTAATACCCTGTCTTTTCTCTTAAAATACACATGGGGTGTCCAGTATCAGTCCTGTGGTGGAACTCAAAGGCGACACATGAAATTCAATCCCGCGCTCGGGCTCCGCTTCCCTCGGGGAGTTTGCCGGGAGAGGCTCCGGCTGGGAAGCCGGCGGCTTTCCCGCGTGCCGCCCGCCCTGGGGTGCACGTGCGGCCCCCGGGGGGGCGTTCAGAGACCCCAGCTGATCCCATCGCACCTCCCCTTGCTTCCTGCGTGGCCTCGGAGCCTGCACGGAGCAAATCCTGTGTCCGGCTGCGAGCTGGGAGTTGCATCCAAGTTTCCACCTGGTTCCTCCCTCCTTTTCCCTGTTCTCCCCTGGTTTGGGCTCCTGGTGCCGCTGGCCTGCTGCAAACAGTGGCAACCCCCCTCTTTATTTTAGGGGTGCAAACACAGTCGTCTTTCCTTCTATCCCAGCCTGCCTGGAGTGTGTTTGTGGTGTCTGGATGGTCCTTTCTCCTCGCAGCGTGAAATGGGGGCTCCGTGCGATGCTGTCGATCCCGTGCTTGGCAGACACGTGGGATGCAGTGATCCCACTCTCCTGCTGCCTCCTGCATCCCGTCTCCTGGGATGCCCCAGGGATGGGAGATGTTTCTCTCCATGCCTCTTCCCTCAATGCCCGTGTAATTTCATGCTTGGCACTATCCGGCTTCTCACCCTGGATATTATCCCTTGATTTAATCTAACAAATTGTCCCTTGATTTGATCTGCAGACTGGGAAGTCTCATTTAAATTCCCCTGGATAACACGGGACAGGAACAGGAATAGTCCATGCAAAATTACTTTGAAATCACCAAGTTATTTGAACTTTACTGGAGCTTTTAGTTTTACAGAGTTTAGAAACTAATAAATTATGCAGCAGGGCTCATGAAAACCTACCCGAGTCAGGTTATCCAAAAGAATATGTAACATTCCCGTTTTGCAGGAAAATAAAAATAATTGTTTACACGTGTGCAGGAGTCATTGGCAAGCATATAAAACAGATGGTTTAGGAGCAAACACGTCAATAACCGCAATTTAAGAGAAGCGAGGGGCACGGAGGCGAGCGCGGCCGAGCCGATGTTGCTGCGTCCCGAGGAGCCGCTCGCTTAGCCCAGAGCCGCTCCTGTGCTGGTAATTTAATGCTGGAATTTCAGGGCAAGGATTATTTGTTTATCTTTGGCTTTCGTGCCTCGTGGTGTGCGCGGAGCAGAGGGTAAGTCGGGACGGTGCCGGCTGTGGCGGATGCTGCTGAGGCTGCTGCTGCCCGCGGGTGTTTTGCTGCAGATCCCTTCTTGTTTCTAACTCCGTGTCTGTGTCGTCATGTCTCCTGATGCGGTGGTGACCGGTGGGGCTTTCTAAGCACGTGGGATGAGTGCCAGTGACGTGTTGGGATAGCAGCGAGACGTAAATTTTGCTGGATGCCCTGAAGAGCCACCTTGCACTTTACTGCAGTGCAACCCTTTTCTTGCTAGGGCCTGAGTCTGTTTCAGGGTATTTTTGGGGGGCATCTGGTGCTTTTTCATCAACCTGAGACTCCTGAACCCATCACGATTAGCTGCCAAACACCCTTGAGGCCCAGGGGCAGTTTCTTTTGACTTGGTTTTGAGGCAGGACGGAGTGGCTGAACTTGGCAGTGGCCAAGGGGGGAAATTGGCTCCATGTTCTCACGAGCAGCTTCCCAAGGGCCTCAGGCTGGAGCTGCTCAGGGCCTCGGTCCTTCATGGGTCCCTCTGTCCCTTGGTCACCAATGTCCCCTGTAGCAAGAGCAACGCGAGTGTCGCGCAAAGCGAAGGAGGAAGAGCCCGCATGGTGTTTTCCAAGAGGAAAAGGACAGTGCTAGGTAGGAGCAGGATCTTGGGAAGCTTTGAACGCTGCCCGGAGCCACGGAGGGATGGGAGGGTTTAGCTGCTGGTGGACTCCCCCAGTGAACGCGCGTGGCCACCGCAGTTTCCCTGTGTTTTTCCCGTTCCCTGCGGAGCGTCGCTCGCTGCCCGCGCCGCCCCATCGCTCTGCTGAGCGCGACCGGCCCTGGATGCTCAAAAGAGCCAATTGTTTTGCAGAGCGGCCGGCGGGACCGAAGCCCCTTTGCTTTAAGGGGATCGGCTGCCCAGAGATGCAGAGAGCGACTTTGGGGTGTCCAACACACCCGCGGTGCCACGGAGACGCTCTGGGGCTTTGGGAAAGCAGCAGGTTCCTCTCCGCATGGAAACGTCCGGGGAAGGAAATGGCTTTTGAGTTGGGTTTGCGCGTGAGGTCCGTGAGCAGAGCTGGAGTTCCCCCAAATCCACAGCCAGCGCCCGCGGCCACCTCGGCACCCGTCCTCCTCGCGGCCGTCACCGCTTCTGCCGCCCGAGAGCGAGCGCTGAACGTGGTTATCCCCAATCACACCCTTAACGATGCTGCTTGTAATGACTGCGCTTGCGGGAATAGCCTGTAATTGTGCTGATCCTCCTCTTGTCGTACATATAGTAATAAGCTGTTTTGTGTAAGAGTACTGGGGAGCTGAGGGAAGATGGGGCGTTTATCTTATTAGGATCCTTTTCTGATTGCCTGCTGGCCTTATCCTGAGTTTTGATTTGGTCTTTAAACGGTTGCAAGTCCTACCTGGTTCATGTAGGGTAGGAGGGACCTAATCCCGTGGGACCCCCAGAAGTGCCCGTGCAGACGGCGGGGCCCCAGTGCGGAAGATGCTGTGGAGACTCTGGCTGCTTTGCAGGGCATTTGCCTAATTCCCAAATTTTCACCCCCAAAAAAATAACTGAAGGGTTTGTGCTGGGGTCTAACAGGTGGAGAGGACGTGTTCCATAAAAAGAAGCCATAGTGACCAGTAGATCACCGAGTGGGCTGGAGCTAGCCTGACGTTTTAGGTCTGAATGGGTTAATAAGTGTGTTTTTAGGGTGTCTGCAGCTCCGGGCAGCACCTCTGCCCCGCAGTGCTCCCCTCCTGCCCCTTTGTCTGCCCCGTCCATCTGCCTCGGCTCAGGTTGCACTCCGTGTTTATCCCCCGTAATCCAATTTAAGTTGCCATAGAAAGCAATGGGGATTTACAGACAGAGAGAAAGAAAGAAAGAAACTCACGGGGTTCAAAAAAGCAGGAACGAGGGAGGTTTTTTCTTCCTCTGGGTAACTGTCTCCTCTCATCTCACGTATTTGCTATGTGTTGAAGATGTGTTAGAGGCTTTACAGGAGTGTGCTGCAGATGATAGGTTTGCCAGGAGAAATTTGCCCGTGGGAGCTGATCCCCGGAGAGCTGCGGAGAGGGAATGTGCTGCTGGGAGCTGCAGGGGGACTTGGGCCTGTGCAGGGGAGCCGAGAGCCCCGCGGGAGCCCGTGTGGGGACGTGGGCGCGTGCAGGGCTCCGGAGCTGCGCACACCCTGCCCAGCGCCCTGCGTTTGCTCTGCCCGAGGCACCAGCGCCACATGCACCTGAGAGGAGCTGCAAGACGCTTGGGACGTGTAAGAGTAAATGTGACACTGTCCCCGAGCGAGGGGGCCACGCGGGGCTTCGCTGCGGGGCTTCGCTGCGGCCCGTGTGCTCAGTGCCCTTCCCATTGCATCTTTTGTCCCCGGACCTGCTCTGCAGCCTCCCTGGGCCTGCACAGCCGCCATGCGCCCCAGGGGAACTTCCACCCCTCGAGGGGCGAGAATGGAGGGAGGAAGGGGCCAAGCTCTTCCCAGTGGTGGCCACTGGTAGGGCGAGGAGCAGTGGGTGCAAGTTGAAACCCGGGCAGTTCCATCTGCACATGAGGAAGAGCTTCTTCGCTGTGAGGGTGCCAGAGCCCTGAAACAGGCTGCCCAGGGAGGCTGTGGAGTCTCCTTCTCCTTCTCCATGTCCTGATATCCCTGTGACCTCTGATTCTTGGTCCCTTTTTGTCTTCCACATCAATGTGTGTTTTGGGCTACTCTTTAAAGCACAGTCTAATTTCCGCCTTTGTGTTGTCTAATCATGACTGTAAGGTAAATCCTGCCCTGGAAAGTGTGCTGGGCTGAGTGCCACGTGCCACGGCATCCAGAAACTCTCCTGCATTCCATGCCGACCAGTGCCTCAGCAGGTGGCTCTTGTCGCTTCCTGCAGACCCCTTGCTGACTGTCGCCTTCTCTCCCATCCGTGTTTCAGATTCGGGCCGTTCGGCGGAGCTGGCGTTCGTGGTGGAGCCCAGCGACGACGTAGCCGTGCAGGAGCAGCCCCTGCTCCTGTGCTGCCAGGTGGAGGGCATCCCGCCCATCCGTGTCACGTGGCGCAAGAACGGCGTGCGCATCCCGGACAGCGAGAACGCCTTCGTGCTGGCCAACGGCTCCCTCTACGTGTCCCGCTTCCAGAGGCTCCGCGCGGACGGCTCCTCGGATGAAGGCGAATACGACTGCACGGCGCAGAACCAGTACGGGCTGGTGGTGAGCAGGAAGGCCAAGATCCAGGCAGCGAGTAAGTGCAGGGCTCGTCCCACCGCGGGTCCCGGCTGCTCCCGTGGCAGCACCGACCATGCTGTGGGTTTCAGCCGGTGCACCCAGGAAGCCCAAACCAGCGGGATGCGCCTCCCAGTTTCATATCCATCGGCTCTGCTCTGTGCCATGGAGCTGGGAGCATTTTGAGCCCCTTGGTGGAGGCTGCTTGTGGGGATGGAGATGAGCACAGAAGGGCAGTGAGCCCGGAGCGTGGCTGGTGGGTGTTTGCAGGCCTGGGGTCTCTGCCTGCGAGCTTGGGTGGTTTAGGAGGGAGGATAAAGGAGAAGAGAGCAGGGAGCTGGTGTAGGCATTGGGCTGGCATCCGATCTGTGTAATTATCCGGGTGTGAAAGGACATCAGCCTTTCTGGGGGCAGAAAGCTAAAAGTCACCTTGCAGCAGCAAATTTCCTGTCTCCAGGGAGTGAATTGCGTTGAAGTCCAGTGGAAGAATAGCCCGCGGTCCGTGTGTCTGCTGCCGGGGGTCGGAAGCCTCTGTGCTCTGTGGCGCTGCTTGGCAGCACTGCCTGACCGAGCGGCTGCTGCCATCGGGTTTCCCACCGGCTCCGGAGGTGGGGTTTTTCCCGGGAATGCTCGTGGAGCTGCAGAACGCTCGTCCCTTTTGTGCTTGGCTGTAGCTGCCACGCGATGGCGAGGACAGGGCTCAGTGCAGCCCACGTGCCCGTGACTTCTGGTGCAAGGCAGGAAAAGGCAGGAGTTTGGGGCTGGGGTGGGAGCCGTGGGTGATGCCCCTAGGCCAGGGGGCTCTTGACGCCGCTGCCCCAAACCAGGCCCACTGACCCCGGTGCACAACGGGGCATCCCGAGCACACCAAGTGTGGCCTTTCAGTCGGGTAAGAGCGACGTTGTCCGGCACTCGGGGCCTTTGGGTCCTTGCCAGGTGAGCAGCTGGGTGTCAGCGTGGTCGGCGTGGTGGTGCCGGGCCTTGGAGCCCTTCTGGTGAGCGGCTCCATCGCGTGGGAGCTGACTGGCCGACACGGGCGCTCTGTCCGGCTGCTCGGATCCGTGGACAGGAGACTTCAGAGCCAGAGGAATTGCCTTTGGGATGGGAGGCTGTCAGTAAACGCTGCTATCTCTGTGCATGCGATGGGGCCTGTGTCCCTGAGAAATATTTCCTCTTGTAGCTCTAGTTTGGTGTGAATCAGGATGAAAAAGGGACCATGTTGAAAATAGTCAGCACCTTGTTGTGCCTTCAGGCTTTGTTTCACGTGAGCCCTGAGAAAGGGGGCAGTGTAAAATGTGGGGTCCTGATGCCACGGGCGCCTGCGGAGAGCGGGAGGATCCTTAACCCCCTTCAGAGACAAGAGGACCCTCGTGGAGGTGGGATAGGTGCTGCTGCCGCGGAGCGGAGCCGAGCGCGGAGCAGAGCTTCGCGGGGCTCCGGCCTCAGCCCAGCGCTGAGCTCCTCTTTCCTCTGAGCCCAACGGCCGAGCACAAAGGGCCGGGTGAAATAAAACCCTTCCACAAACAGAAATCGTGAAAGTTGATCAAGGCCGAGCTCCCGAGCAATAAAAGGGATCTGACGGAGCGGAGCCCCTTGAGAGCCCCGCTGCACTTTTCGCTGTCTTCAAAGGCAGCCTGTTAGTCTCATATCACCGTTACAGACCCTGGCTTTGTACTATTGCTTGGAATATAATCTTCTTGGCTCCGAGGAATGTACATATTTGCATTCAGAAAATGTGGGCTGGATATCCTATTTTTATGCTTCGAATTTACTTCAATGTTTGACACCGAGAGAAATTTAAGTGGAAGAAGACGCTGGCGGCAGCCGCCGTGAAGGGCCCCGGGGCCGCTGCGATGGGGCTGCCCTGCGTGCTAAAAGGGACGTCAGTTATCCCGGGACTGCAAGCCCCGGGGATGGCAAAGTCCGGAATCACAGAGGTGTGCGCTAATGTGCAATTTGGGCATTTAATTGACCTTTAATTGTAATCATGGGGGTGTCTGTATCTCATCGATACAGACGCCGAGGGCGCTCGGCGGAGGGACTGGATGGTGGCTGTTTGCTGAACGCTCCGGTGCCGTTTTTGTCCTGCTGCCTCCTTTCTCCCAGGTGTGAGCGTGTGGGTGCAGAGGCCTCGAGCAGAGGCCTTGGTCCTTTCTGCCCCGTTCCCGACCCGCTGGCTGAGCTGTTTTGGTCGCTGTTCCTGCCTGTTCATACCCCGGTGCGTTACTTTAAATGCAACATGTTTTTATAATCCGATCAGGTTATTGAATACAGATTGGCTTTTTTTTTTTTTCCTCCTAATGACAGTTTCATAATTTCTCATGACTCAGAGCTTAATTAAAATCACTTGCATGGATCTTAGTTCTCTGGAGCCGATGGCAGCAGGGAGCGCCTGGCTCGGATGCTCGCCCTGTGTGAGGATGAGGATGCTCACCCTGCTCTGGAGCACCCCGAAACGGGGCCACCTTCCCCGACCTGGGCTGACTTGGGCTCCCGGCCCTTCTGCCAGTGCTGCAGTTTGACGGAGCGGGCCCCGCATCATCATAAATCACCGCCCTGCCGCTGGAGTAAGCCCCATTGATTACAGCACTCGATAACGAGCAGTTACCGCTAATTGGAAATCACCATTGAGCTGGGTATCGGACCAGGCTCCGCACGCGCCCGGCCGGAGAGCAGCAATTTTCCCTGTTTGATCTGGTGCTGCAGAAGGAAGAGAAGAGGGAAGGTCGGTCGTGCCGCTTGGAGGGAGAGGGGTTGCGGAAGCTCGTGGGAATGGTCCTGCCCGGCGCTTGGAGCGCTGCCCATCCTCGGGGGAGCTCGTAACACAGCCGCCCTCTTTGCATCTCGCCCCGCGTCCCCTCTGCCCTCCTGTATCCCATTCCCTTCTACGTCCTGCTCTGGTCCCGGCTACTCCAGCCCCGTTGAGCCGCCCGTGTCTTCCATCCTGCCAGCCCAGCGGTGGGATTTGCAGCCTGGCCAAGGCAGATGTGACGGCATGAGCCTTGCGGCTCCTCTTCCCCAGCCCAGGGCCATTGGAGACGCCTCGTCCGCACGGTCCGAGAGGCTCCAGGTCTTCTGCAAATTCCAAAAACCTGGAGGACACCTGGAGAAGACCCACGCGAGGTGTTTTCCTCACACAGCTGTGGGGTTGGTATGGCAGCAAAGACCTTCCCATCGTTTCGGCTCCTCTGCGCAGGGCACGTTCAGGGTTTAACCTGCAGCCCCCTTTGCAGCTCAGGGGTGGTGGGAAGAGCTGCTGAGCCCAAATAATGGCAGCATTTATAGGAGTGCGGGGACAAGAAGGAAGCCTAAAAGGATTAGGGAGAGACAAAGGGGGCTGATTATTTTATGGGTCACAATACAAGGCATTAGAGCACGATCACAAAAGGATGTAATTACAAAAGAAGGCCATACTGGGGGGGGATCAACCGCGGATTAGAGTGGGAAATGTTTTTACACAGTTTTGTTCCACTTATTATGAAGTTAGCATTTTAAATTACTTTTTAAATAAGGTGGCACCCAAGTTGTCACCAAGGTATTTCCTGGACAATGCTGCTGTTTGGATGTGGATTGCAAGTCCCAGCACAAAACACTAAGTCAGACCTTAAACGCAGGCTTTGCTTCTGCCTTGTGCTGCGAGCAAGCCAACGTCTGCCCGGCTGCAGAGCCCTGCCTGGAGCTGGGCTTAGCGGGAGCCAAGCTGGTCCTAAAGTTGGGAGAGGGCTGTTTTGGGAGCGGGAAGCGCCTGCTGGAGGTATCTGAGGGTTTTCCAGGGAATGCTGGTGTCAGTGTGAGCCCCAGGTCGGCTCTTGGACGTGCCATGCGCCCAAGCTCTCGTGTCCATAGAGCTGCAGCGTCGCTTGTGCTGCGAAAAGGAGGTGCAAATACCCGGAGTCACCCGGGACCTGCAGAGATCCGGCTGGAAATTCCAGCAGATTTGAACTTGAGAGGAGTTTGTCACTTCCCACCCGCTGCCTCTCGGGGTCTGAGTAGCAGCCCGAGCTCCTCCGGAGACGCGAACGCATTATAAGACCATATTTCTTTGGGCTGCTCATTTCTTAGCGGCGCGATGGTTATTTAAATATCATCTTGCACTTGTGCGCCAGCGCTGGCTGCGCCCGTGTTATCTCTCGTATAGGGGCTTGCACTGCAGGCAGTAATGTCACTTAGTCATTTATAGAAAGCTCAGGGGAAATATATGAGAAGAATTTCATTAATGGTAGCACTGTTGAGTTATTTGTCTCAATTACCTCTTGGCGCGCAGCTGAGGAAGTCCCCGCTCCCGAGCCGGCCGCCCCGCTCCCTCCCGTGCCGTCTCCGCTCCCGGATTTGCACTGTCACTACTTGTGTGACTTTCCTTAGCCTTGTCTGTTCCCCAGGGAGAGCAGAGACCTGGAGAGCAGCCCATCCCGACCGCCCATCCCGGCCACGGAGGACCCCGTGGGTCCCGTTTCGCCTTTGCCGGGACGGGAGCTGCTCCCGCTCCTCCTCGGCACGGCATATGGTTTTCAGAGAGGTTCCTGCTTTAAACCCAATTTTACAGTTGGGTTGACGGAGGCAAAAGGAGGTCAAACGATTCGCCTGAGGTCGCTCAATAAGTGGCTCGGATTAAATCTGAACCGGCGCGGCTGCCCGTTCCCAGCGCTGGCGGTGCCGGCCGGGCCAGATGGCCGCTGAATGCGGCGGATCCGCCGCTCCTTCCCGCCCTCATTGTTCCCCATTGTGGGCCGCTCAATGCCCAGCCCTGAAAGTGAGAGTCCTCGGGATTTGCTGAGTCCGGCTTATTCTGCTTAATGATGCGGATTTGCAGGAGAGGGTGTAAGCACACGGCCTTGCTGCTGAGGTTTGGGGTTTTTGCAGGTTTTCCTCTTTGCTCTGCGTGGTTTTCTGAGGTGGAAACGCTCGACCTGCTAAGATTGCACCTTTAGCCCAGCAGCCGCTGCCTGCCTGGGCCTGGTACCCGTGTGGATGTGTCTGCAGGGCTCCCTGTCCCCGGTGAGTGCCGGGCTGCTCCTGTCC